GAAATTGCATTGCTTATAACTAATAATATAAAGGATGATGATTGCACAATGACTTTTTACTCTTTTTATTTTATTTTATTTTTTTAATTTGTACTTTAGGTTACCAAACCCTGTGTACTTGGGAACACTGACCGCGGGCGTAATTCATTCCACAGCTTGCTTTCTCTATAAATTTTTACCTAATATCCTTTGCAAATAGCTTATGTCAATCAACCTCTTTCAAAAGTTGAAATCTTTTGGTTGTTTTGTCAATTATTCCTTGACAGCTCACGTTTTTGGCCAGCTTATACCCTCTTCAATTTTTCACTTGTCCATTTTTGTGTGTTCGTTGGACTTTTTTGGAAAGTTCTCAATCAGAATCCAGGACAACTCAAAGAAGCTGACACTGATTCCCAGTTTTCCAGCATAGGAGATTTAATAGAAGCCGGAAAGAGACCGGACAGATTCTGTATTTACTGTGAGGTGAGCACTGGGTCTGAATCTCTTCTGACTAACATTTCAAATTTACTTGATCAAAATGGTTTTCTTTGGAGGGTTGTAACTATTTTTGGATGGTTAAATCAAATTGAATTATTTAATTAATATATATTTTAATATTGCTGTGTGTTGTTTCAAATAATAATTAAACCAATATTTTGAATGAATAAAAATGGTTTTATAATAAATAAAAACAAAAAAAATATTTTAAATAATAATCAGAGCTGGATCCTAATCTGTTTGCTAATAATAATAATAATAATAATATATTTTCTAATAATACAAATTCTAAAATATAATTATAATAATCAGTACTGGATCTTAAACTGTTTGCTGACATATTTTGAGATTGGAAAATTGAAATTTAAGAAGTTAATTTATTCACAGCATTAAATATGTCTATGTTTGAACCAATCATTTTGGTTAGTTAAATCCCCACGTACAAATATATATATATTTTTTAAATGTATTATTATTATCAAAATTCAAATTTCAAAAGTGCACAAGCTATTTTCTTTCAGTTGATGCAAGTGGACAACTGTAAACACTGCCGTTTGTGTGACATGTGCATCCAAGACTACGACCACCACTGCCTCTTCCTCAATCAATGTGTGGGACGGGACAACCACCGCATCTTCATCCTCTTCATCATGTCTATGGTAATGGCTCACCTCATCTTCATCCTCAGTGCCGTGTATTACCTCTGCCTGAAACTCTCAGGCTTGCAGATGTCTGACTGGGGCTCAGTGGCGGGAAGAGAGGCCTCGGTCCTCCTGCTGACTCTGTTCAACATCTTCTCTCTGATCTGGGTGGGATGGTTGCTAGTTGAGCAGCTTGATGCCATTTCCATGGGAACCACCACCTATTTTAGGCGGTATGACCACAAAGGGCCTTCTAAAAGACAACGGCTGGGAACAATCCTCACTTTTCTGCTTGAAGGGAGAAGACGGGAGCACAGTCAGTCTTTCAGTATATAGAGATGTTTTGAAATTCCAAGCAACATCACAGTTTAGTCTCTTATTGTAGTTTATAAAGGCTGGAATATATAACTTCTGTTACATACTTCACAGTCCCGTAGTGTATGATGGGCTCAGATTCTGATTTTCTAGCTTCAGACTACAATTTTATCCATTCAAAGGATATCAAACATGATTGATATTTTGCGCTGATTTTAGACCATACATTGTTTTCATTTCTCATGCATCTCCTAGCAGTGAGGTGCATGTTTCTGCGAGAGTTAGTTTTTTTTTTTTAAGTCAATGCGATCCTTAGTCGTTTAGTGTATGATGCCCAGTTTTGTTTTGTTTAACCATTTACAATGTCAGCAATTGTGTAACGCATATTGTTAAAAACTGTTCAGAATCTAAAAATTGTATAGTGCATTCCAACCTTCATTTTCAGGGAAGATTGTTAATTTGAGACTCCCATAGTTTGTAAAAATAAACAAAAACAAAAATTACATTACCTAAATTATAAATCTTCGTAATAGTGCTTTACATAAACAAAGGTCACTGCTGCCTTGCCTTGCCATAACTGTATCTGTATTTTTTTTTAATAAGAAACATTTTAAATAAATGTCTTTGTGTAAATTTATAGTTTGATTTTTCATTTAATATTTTGAAGTAAAAAATAAATCTGTTTTTGCAAAAACAATGCACTAAAAATGGATGTCCAGTCATTTATTAACACATTATATTGGGATAAAGTATTTGATTTTGTTATTCTACAAAATAAAGATTAGAACATTTGTTTTGTAACATCAATTTCAGCATTAGGATTGGGAAGCCTCTCACGCTGCATTCCCAGCCCTGCTTTTAAGATGGTTGTCCATCATTAATCATCTGCAAGGCCTGTATAGTCTGCTGCTAATTTTCCATTGATTTTGCTGCAGTAATACCATGCAGGGGGGAATCTGCAGACCTATATCATTGGTCTAAGTGACATGGCAATGAGTAAAGGCATTTTGATACTATTGTGGCAAAGTCCTGCTAATGCAAGAGAGCATATTCAGTCTCACATTTAAGGTTATTCATAGAACATCCAAGTCCAGGGTTTGATTCAGGCTGTTTATTGTATTTTCTTAAGACAACCTTTTTTATGTGTATGAGGCATTTGTTTCCCTATGAGTCGAAAACTCTTCAGTCTTTCACAGTGAATCAGTGCATCATGTGCTCATCTTCATTCCCTCTATATCTATTATTAAATTAAATGATAACTCAGTCTAATTGCTAGTTTATTTGGTCCCACGCTAGACTTGGCCTGGATGATTTGTATTTTAATGATGGTTGCAGGCTTCTACTTGGAGTCTGAATTACATTTTGAAACATTTTGATTTTCAAGTCAAAAAGAATTTTCCTCCTGTATCGGTATTTACATGTAATATTACATGACTTTTCCAGGGCAATCACACAATTTACAATGCCCTTGGCTCGACTCCATAAAGCAATACTGTTATACATACCACTCTGCAAAAAAGCAACAATAAACCTTGACTTGATATTGTTGCTCTTCATTTATTGCATTTGTTTAATCACACACTAAAAAAATGCTGGGTTGTTTCATCCAAATTTTGGGTCAAATATGGACTAACCCAACTTTTGGGTTAAAAATGTAATGTAAAAATGTAAACCAACGGTTGGGTTTGTCCATATTTGACCCAAAGTTGGGATGAAACAACCCAGCATTTTTTAGAGTGCAGTATTAAGTGTAGGAAAACATCCAACTAAGGCCATAATAAGAGGCACTTGCACAGTGCACTGCTGTTTTCACTTCTGCATTAGCAGTCGTCATTTCCTTAGATGTCTCCGTCAATCTACCAACCTTCTTGTGATTTTACACACCTCAGCTTTTGGAAATTTCCCCTTTATTATGCAGTTAAGCACACAGTTTTAGCTAGAATTTAGTTAATCTAGAGTAGTGAATGTAAAAATACTGATCTCATTTCTAATTTTTCTTTAAGACGTGGATTTATTATATGTGATAAATTTTTGGCAAATCATTCTCCTCCCCTCAGTTCCTTAAGATATTAAGTGGGAGCCTCTGGCTAGATGTCACATTGGTGAACTTTACACTTATAACTAGTTCTCCTTTTACTTCTACAGATATTTGAGGCGGTTATTTTCAAATGCCATATGTGAATATGCTAAATTGTAAGCCCTAATGTACAACGGAGTGTTTACTGTGATGGAGAGATGGAGATTTTTAGGTAATTAAGTGAGTTTTTTTTTAATCATCTTATTTGACTGAAAGTGTTCTTTATTGTAATTTGATTGCAACAACTTGATGCGTACCACAGTATGAATGGCAAACATTTTCTAAAATTCAAAACATTTATATGACCAATGACTATGTACACTATGTAGTATATTGTGGATGCTTTTTGGAATGCCTCATTGTTAATAAGTAATTAGAGGATTTGTCTATATAGTAGCTGTCACTGTGAGCCTTTCAGCATAAACTTTTTAAATGAAATCTCAGATCTTCTGATGAACAGTCACCATGTAGTTTTGCATTCAGAGCATTATTACTGTTGCAGTTGTTGTGAAATGTACTATGTGTAACATGGACGCTGTGAAAAGTGTTACTGGGGATTTATTTTAGGAAACCATTTTTTAAATAAATTCATTATCAAAGCAACTACTAGATCCTAATAATACAGTTAAAGCAAAATGAAAGATGAATAAAAATTTAAAGGATTAGTTTACCTAAAAAGAAAAATATGCTATTTACTCACCCTCATGTTTTTCCATGCCCATGTTGTTGTTTTTCTATTATATTTCTATCTTTAGAATTATATGCAGCTCTTTTCATAAATGACATAATGGCCATGTCTGTCACCTCCAAAAATGACAAAATCACCATAAAAATAGCTAAATGCAGTACAGTATATTCCTATTTTATTTTATTCAGAAAATTCTATAAATAGCACACAGATTATATATAGGTAGACTACTTTTTTGTACTTTTTGGAGCTTATTTTATGGAAAATATCAGAAAATTATTCAAAAAAAAAAGTTTTTACTCATTTAAATTCTGTCATTAAATTCTAAAATTTTGGGCCAAACTAACCCTTTAACAGCTGTTTTTTGGAAGTGATCTGAAATGCACAAAAGCCAGATGGTGAAAAGGTGACCACAGAGTGAAGGAGAGAAATAGTACACACAAGCACATGCAGATACAGTCACCATACTAAAGAACCAATTAGGAGGGAAAGCGAAGGGGGAGAAATGGCAGAAGCCCTTCTGTTTCTGCTTCACTGAATTATTGAGTGTAATCATCCAGGCCTTTAATGGCTGGTCCAAAGTGGAATTAATTTGGGTGGTGTGGGATAAATAATGCATTATGGGTAAGGGTGGATCTGAGCGTGTGTAAGAGGTCTCTCTCCTCCAGCTGCCTCTGCATGATGAGGGTGGGAGGGGCCCGGGAAGCGTGCCGCTCAGTGCAGTGGGGTAGTGGGACATGAAAGGGGGAGAGAGAGAGTGAGGAAGGGAGGGAGGTAGACAGATGCTGTCCAGAGCAGGCGGAAGAGGTGCAACAGGGCGAGGCTCAGGAGGAAAGTAGAGTGCGGATCCCAACATGTGGATGGAGGACAGTGTTGCTCAGCAATGAACACCATGCTAAGTCCCAAGCTTAGACAGTCCAGGAGAGGTAAGACCTTTAATTCTCACTGCTGTTTCTCAGCATCAGTGACCTGCATTCCCATCCGTAGCAACACCTTCTTCTGGCTGCATTAGCTGCGCTCAGTACCGGCTCCTGCTCCGCTAGTCTGCTGATCTCACAGCTCAGTGATGGGCTGTTGAGGACTATATATCTCCATGGCAGTGATCCAATAGACTGGGTGGTTGCTTAGTAAGATCTTTCAGCTTGATTAGTGGTTAATGAGCGTAAGTGGTCTTTGGCTTTGTGTCACACTCCTTAACCAGGAAGTCATGATTTGGATCCTGACACATGCTGATGATGCCTGATGTTTCATAGTTTTTATACAATCTTAAAAATAAAGATGGTGTTTGCAGCAATGCCATAAGAACGATTTTTGGGTTCCCCAAAGAAGAGTTCTTAAAGATCCATTTTTTCTTAGTGTGAAGAACATTTTAATAATGAGAATGTTTTTTCACTATAAAGAGCCTTTTGTGGAACGGAAAGGTTCCATGATGTTAAAGGTTTTTCTTAGAACCATCATTGCCAATAAAGAACCTTTATTTTCAAGAGTGTACAGTACATGATGGAGATAAGTCAAGAATAATTGTAATCATAATCCAATGCCATTTTTCTGCACATGAACTTACATTCTATTCTTGGTCTATAATGAATTGTAGTTTCAACACTTAGAATTAAGGGTGTAATAAATCATAACAACTGAATGTCAAACAGTTTCACCTACATGAGTAAAAGCTTGCTGGCAATCATGGCTTTCATGTCATATAATGTAAATTAAATGTATACATCTACGTACATATCTTATAACTTTATTGATCAGATAATACTGTACAATAAGTTTTAACTAGTTAAAGGGTCAGTTCACCCAAAAATGAAAATTAGGCTGTGTTTTACTCACCCCCGAGGCATCCTAGGTGTATATGACTTTCTTCTTTCAGACGAATCCAGTCGGAGTTATATTAAAATTGTCTTTGATCTTTCAAGCTGTTTAATGCCACTCAACGGGTGTTGCATTGCTTCTGTCCAAAAGAACTTAAATAAAAAGCGCCCATCCATAAAAAAAAGTGTCTCACAAGGCTCCGGGGGGTGAACAAAGGCCTTCTGTAGTGAATCGATGCGTTTTTGTAAGAAAAATATGCATATTCAAAACATAATAATCACTTGAATCTAGCTTGCGCTCACTGTTGTAAACAGAAGCAGTTCCGGGGGTATGACGTATGAGGTCGGCTTTGCGCATGCACCGCTCAGAAGTGATGCACGCAGAAACGCAGGGGAGAGATCAGAACAAAACAACGGTCAAGAATTAGAATTACAAAACGAGGATTTGTAAAGAAGAATGTCAGAGGATTTCGATATAAGCCAAGAGGAGACTGGTTTTCCTTTGCTAAATTAAGGAAACTTTGTTTCCTTTGATCCTGTTAACAAACGTTGCTTTTCACGAGACTCACCGGCGCATGCGCAACGCTGACCTCATACCTCATGCTCCCGGAACTGCTTCCAGTGTATAACTGTTGGCACAAGCTATATTTAAGTGATCATTACGTTTTGAATATGGATATTTTTCTTACAAAAACACATTGATTCGCTACAGAAGGCCTTTGTTCACCCCCCGGAGCCGTGTGAGACACTTTTTTTTATGGATGGGCGATTTTTATTTAACTTCTTTTGGACTGAAGCAATGCAACACCCGCTGACTGCAATGATAGAGCTTGAAAGATCAAAGACAATTTTTTATATAACTCCGACTGGATTCGTCTGAAAGAAGAAAGTCATATACACCTAGGATGCCTCTGGGGTGAGTAAAACGCAGCCTATTTTTCATTTTTGGGTGAACTAACCCTTTAACTTTAGTTAATGCTTTAGGTATCATGAAGTTAAAAAATTAACTAAAGTTAATGCTTAAAGTTAAAACTAAAGCATTATACAATTTTTAGATTCTGAACAGTTTTTAACACAATATGCATCACACACTTGCTGACATTGTAAATGGTTACAAAAAAAAAATATTTTTTTACAGCATTTATCCATATTAATGTTAATTTCCAATTAAGTCAATGTTAATGTCCACATATATTAATGCATTTTTAACAGCTGTATAAATTACCACAGTATTGTGAATGGACAATAGTATATTTAAACAACAGTATATTTGTAAATTAATATGAACTTACATTAATAAATGATATACTAATACATATACTTCATTGTTAGTTTATGATACCTAATGCATTAACTAATGGTAATGGATTGAACCTTATTGTACAATGTTACCATCAATTCCATGTACAAAACAGGTGCAATATCATTTTTAAAGTTGAATTGATAATAATTGCATGGTTTTTCCTGATTATTTCTCCTGCAAAATGCTATTTGTGAATTGATTTCTGCCCTGCTGTGCAACATAAAGCAAACAGGAGCATTTGAAACACACTGTCTGCTGGGCTCTGCATTTATCATCTTGCATATTACAGCACATATTCCAGCACAGCAGGCTCAAAGACACTGCCAGGTTTCATTTGCAGTGATATTTCACTCTGAGTGTCAGAATATTAGGTGGGCTAAATTAAAAGGCAATTGCCTTTTCAGTTTTGTGCTGTACTTATGTGTAAATTGTTATCAGGAAGTATGACAGATAGCATAATTTTTATATATTTAAATGTCTAATTAGATTTATTTACATGTTCCTTTACTGTTACATTACATGTTAACATAAGATGTTTTTAGACATATTACCAGTGGGAAAATGAAGTCATTATGGATCTATTTATTCACTTGCATTTTGCATTATTTTTAAGCTTACTGTAATCTGCAAGATGGTAATAATAGAGCTGGATTCAAGCCCTTAGTGGAACTAAGAAATCATTTTAAAAAAACTAGGAGCTACACAAGATTCATTATTATTCTGTTCCTCATGCCGTACTCAAGGTGTCCTCATAAAACATGTCTTGTACGAAACTCTTTATTACGGGACTATTGTAAGCAGGATGATCATTTCAGGCAGAGATTAATTGTTCATATTAATTCTTGATGATTTTTAACAAATCTTCATATTCAGTACCAGTGCCCTGAAAGAATATTTAAGGAGCAGACACATAAAAAAGGCTCTTTTGTCATTTCAAAAATGAGTCTAAATGAAATATGCATGGGCCTGGTCAGACTTCCAGTATTTTTAGACTAAACATGTCACATAAGCAGAAAATCAGACAAATGGAGGAAAATTCTGACGCCGAATGCTCTGCCCGGTCTGCAACCTGCTTGTTATTGAGAGTTGGCCGCTATAGGTTTATGGGTAATAAGGAGAAACACCATTCTGTGTGTCCCTGGAGACTGCTGTTCAAAGAGCTAGATCATTTTAGGGGCTTTTCTCCCACCCTCTTCCCTCCCATTTGTGCTCTGTCACTCTTTCTCTCTCCATGAGGCTGTGAGGCTTCCATTACTTACAGTCATTTAATCAGAGTGGCAGCGTTTGCAGCCCTTCAGGCTGAGGAGCGGTCGGTTCTTTGCTGTTATGCAGTACCTTTTTAACTCTGTAATATAGAAAGAATATACTTGTGTGTTGTAATTTAAGGAAGTATAATTATATATTTATAATTATAATTTTACTGGTTAATATATAGTAATTTTATATATTTATATATATTTTGAAATACTTGTTTTATATTTGTAACCATTTTTTATTTTTTTATAATATATGTAATTTTATAAAACAGAGCAGACAGTGACACAAACCAAATAATACCAAAAAATAAATAAAAAATGAAACCAATTGTTAATACTAATGTTTGTCCACCAAAAATGACATCACATCCTGGAGGATGATGCCACTGAGGAACTGGCTTGTGTTCGTTACAGTGATGTTAAAAAATCTAACAGGATGGAAACTGATATTGGAAATTTGATTATCATATTATATTATAAAAACATTATAATATTTCCAATAAATAAATAAAAACATTCAGCAATTTAAAAAACACATTTCAGCTGAAAAAAGGACAAAATAATATAGATTTTTTTTTCTTAATATATTATACTATAGTATATATTAGCATATAAATAAAATATAATTGCAATAATTATTATTAGCATTAAAATTACATTAAATTGGCATTATAATTAAAGTAATAAAATAATTTAAAATTCATAATATGTTCACTTAATTGTGAAAATGTAATAAAATGAAAACAAATTAATATGGTTAATTCCAATTTTTAAAAAGTTTATTTATTTATTTTTAATATATACTTTTAATATTTTTAAGACATATTCTCAGCACATGAAAAACAGCATAGTGGGAATGTCCCAGCAACTGTAGGCCACTCTGATAAAGACTAAAAAAATCCAGAGTGATCCTAAACAGCTGTACGAAGAAAGCTAGGGAGTGCACTCTCATGTTTTCTGCTATCCTGCTGCTCTCAGCACACAGGAAAACAAGGATTGATTTTTTTTCCTTTCCGGGCCACGAGCATAAAGCAGCTGCTTGTGACACTGGGCATGCCTCTCAAATACAGCTGCCCAATCTCATCTGCTTTGCTGTGGTTTGTGGTTGTCTCTGGTCAACACAAGGGGAATTTAAATTCATGAATAAGCCAAAAAAATGGGCTTTTGCATCACTGAGAAGCCTGTCATAAGGCATGCATGATACATCTTGTTTTCAGTGGTGGTGGGCAAATTGCTTGCATTGCCCAATTGCTTGCATCTATGCATTTTTATGTGCGTTCTGTGTATATACTTGTCCAGACTAGTGGAGGCTAATTCACTTGGTTTAGATGAGCAGAATGGGAATCTACTGTAAATGTGACATGAAATCTAACTTAACATGTTTGAATATATGTGAATGTGTTTGTGTTTACTTTCTCAGCTAGGTCTAAGAGCATGGTCATGGGGGAGCTCTCCCGCAGGCCATCATCCCCCTGCCTCCAAGACAGGGCGTTAAAAGCGGGCTGGCTTAAGAAACAGCGCAGCATCATGAAGAACTGGCAGCTGCGCTGGTTCGTGCTTCGAACTGACCAGCTCTACTTCTACAAAGATGAGGAGGAAACCAAACCACAGGTACAGTGGGAAGAGACAGAACAACCAGAACAAGAATAAAAATAAAGACAGACTATTTATTATTATATAATTTATCTGGAATATAACATTGTCTTTCAACAAAATTAATCAAAATAAAATCTGACCCTGTTGTGTCTAAACAATGTGACAGTTAATGTTGCAAAAAGAGGTTTAAAAAATAAGAGACCTTGATCTTTTATTTCATATCTGATCAATAACTCTACCTAAAAAAAATCAATGTTATCTATCTTACTGATTTAAGCATCGATTGTGAGATAACAAATGACTTCACTGTTTTCAAGTTCAACCTCTCAACCCACAATACACACCATCTACAGGTTATTGGGCTCGACCTGAAACAGTGAGAGAGACAAAACTGCATTCATTCAGGCAGTTATGAATTTCATTGCATTAGATATCTGAAGTTTTGGGCCACTATATGTTCATATGTTATAAACATGCACACTACCATTCAACAACCATTACTATATAACAACTACTTTTTTAAAGAAATTAGTAATTTTATTAATCAAGGATGCATTAAACTGATAAAAAGTGACAGTAAACTCATTTATAATGTCACAATAGGTTTCTATTTCAAATAAATGCTGTTCTTTTGAACTTTCTATTCATCAAAGAATCCTGAAAAAAATGTATTACAGTTTCCAGAAAAACATTAAGCAGCAAAAGCATTATCAGCATTTTGTGAGCAACAAATCAGCATATTAGAATGATTTCTCATAGGGTTAATGTGACACTGAAGAGTGTATTAATGGAATATATTAATGGAACAAATGGAATAAATGAACAGGAATAAATTACATTTGAAATTATAATAAAACCGAAAACAATTATTTTATATTGTTCAAAATATTTCCTAATAATTACTGTATTTTGTATCCAATAAATTCAGCCTTGGTGAGCATAAGAGACTTATTAATTAAAAAAAACTTTAAACAGTGTACATAAACACATACATGATAAATATTAGAAAAATAAAAATCATAAAACATTAAGTTAAAAATAAATGAATGAATATATATATATATATATCATATAAATCATATATATGCTAGTGATTCATTCTCCCCTGTCAGTGAAGCTTTAGGAACACAGCTATATCCTCCTCACTGTCTCCATTACACCAGGATGACATCAGCATGCTGTTAGCCTGACAAACTAATTTGGAAACCGCATGCCCTCCTGCTTGGCTGTAGTGTAAGTCAAAGCATTTAGCGGATACAGAGCGGCTGACCTGTGACCCCTAATGCAGCATGACTTTCCTCAGCCTCCGAGTCTGGCTCATCCATCCTTTATCTGGTATTATTCTCCTCCGGAGCCTGTAAACTCTCTGTAATGCTCATGCTCTCTTTCTCCACCCCCACTCCCACCCCATCTCCATCCCAACTTAATTCAATCTCTGCAGCAGAAATGTGCCCAGCTTGCATCTGAGTGGGTAACCCTATAAGCATTTACCCTTATCAATGCATAGTTTGAAAATTAATTTAACTGCAGCTGAATGACGGAGAGGAATTTTAGCTGAGCAATGAAAACTTGCATCGCTGTGTTAAAGGGGTCATATGATGTTGCTAAAAAGAACATTATTTTGTGCATTTGGTGTAATGAAATGTGTTTATGGTTAAAAAAACACATTATTTTCCACATACTGTACATTATTGTTTCTCCTCTATGCCCCGCCTTTCTGAATTGCGTAGATTTTTACAAAGCTCATTGGTCTGAAAAGCGAGGTGTGCTGTGATTGGCCAGCTATCCAGTGCGTTGTGATTGGCTGAATACCTCAAATTCCCATTCTGTGATGCCCCGTCAGGCCGGAGCGACGATTCAAAAACATTAAAACCCATTATAAACGAGGTATTTGTTGCATCCAGTGGGGAAATAATTACGGATTATAATGATTTAGGGGCCGTTCACATATAGTGTCTTTTGCGCGCTCAAGTTTGTTATTTCAAATGTAGACGCACGGCAGGCGCGCTCATAATGGTCGCGACGCGTACGTGGTGCGATGCGCTCATTTTTCCAGGCGCTTCCGCGCCACATCGAGATAAAAACATTTAAACTTTTCAGAATGCCGCAAACGCACCGCGGGTCATGTGACAAGAACCAACCAATCAGCTTCATCCTTTCCTGTAACAACATTGAAAGCTCAGCCAAGATGAAGGAACAGCTGATCATATCTGTACAGGGATAGCCATTTTTAAATAAATTTAGTAGCAGAGCTACTGCAAGCGATTTTTAGTGCTGCTAATCCATTTATCCTTTGCTGAAATGTCCGCGTCTTCATGGAGAGCGCAGGTCATGGTTGCTTAGCAACGGCAGACGGCTCTGGAGCGCAAGCGCCCGAACGTTTTGGAAAAAAGCAGAAAGCTGCGCGCCTAGCGTTTTCCACACGTTTTTAGGTGCGACATGTGAACAGCCCCTTATACTGTCTTTTTATGCGTTGTGTCCTCTTTTGGAAGACCAAACAAAGTAGTTTCACTTTCACAACGAAACACACGGCGGGCTAGAGTGAGCGGAGGCTGGTGGCTAGAGTGAGCGGTGGCGGGTGGGCTTGAGAACGGCGCGCCCGGCGGATTTGACGAAGGAGCATCCGGTGGGCTTTCGGCAACCACATGTGACGACCCCGGGCTGGACTCCGCATTGTCCACGGTGAAAGCCGATCTGGCAATCCACAGCGTGAAGTTGATGTATTCCCTCAGCGGTCAGCTCTAGGCATGACGAAGCGGATATCATCCTCTTTTGGAAGGCCAAACAAAGTAGTTTCGCTTTCACAACGAAACACACAGCGCCTTCACGACATGGTAGCAGCGGCAACAACAATACAGCGAGAATAAAAGTTACGCCTTCTTTTTTTGTGTGAACATTTGGGCGGCGTTATGCAAATCTTCCCACATCATGACATAGACATGTGGGGGCGTGTTAGAACGAGCCGTTTTAGGTAGGCGTGGTTGACTCTTAACTTTTATAAAAAATATCTCTTTGGATTTGAGACTTTAGTCTTTGCAACTTTACAGATCTTCATTATGCACCAAGAGCTTGTAACACTTCAAAGAGAAAGGAAAAATTGAAATCGCATCATATAACCCCTTTAATGCTGGGGCAGCGAAGAATGGAGGATGAGCTAAAGGAGGCTGGTACATAATTTATGATTTGACTGTGGTTGGGTCTAATTATTCATGACTCAGCATCGCTGATTACAGCGTAAAATTGGGCCATGCACACAACAAAGAATTATGCCCTGGTGAGCCCCTGTAGGTGCTTATTAGCACCACAAATCAATTAGCAAATTACAATAGCCTAATGCAGGGGTAGGCAAGTTCGGTCCTAGAGAGCCGCAGTCCTGAAGAATTCAGCTCCAACCTTAATCAAACACACCTGAACAAGCTAATCAATGTCTTCAGGATTACTAAGGCTATAGGCAGGTGAGTTTTGTTTTCAGGGTTGGAGCTGAACGCTGCAGGACTGCAGCTCTCTAGGACCGAACTTGCCTAGCTCTGGCCTAATGAAACACACTCCAGTTATCCCTGAAGAGAAATTGTTCATCTGTTTAATGCTTTAATAGATAAAACATCTTAAAATGGTGTAAAACACTAAAAAAAGTGCTTTTCAAACCTATTCACTGTTTAAAGCAATCTTTTCTTTCTTTTTCCCTCCAGGGATGTATCCCGTTGCAGGGTAGTCAAGTCAACGAGCTGACAGCCAATCCTGATGAACCTGGGCGGCATCTTTTTGAAATAGTTCCAGGTAGGAGATAATTAAATTTACCTTAATCTTCTTTGGTCTGATTTAATTATGCGTTTAATGGTTTGTGCCATCAGGGCATAATCTGTGCATGTTATATTTTATACTTACTTATACTCTTTGTCCAACTTGTCACTCAAGGAGGCATACAATGGCAAAGCAAGAAAACAAATAAGGCACTGTGTTTGCAGGCTCTGAGTGGGAACTTGCATATTGTTACAGACGAAATACAGCATCATTACCAGAGTTAATCAGGGCATTAGGTGTCCTCTTAGCAGGGCCGGATTTATGCATAGGCATTGTAGGCACGTGCCTATGCTTTCTCATCCAGGGGGGGTCCAAACTCAATGAAGAGATATATCTTATTTTTGTTATACTATGGGATATCTACAACAGTAAAAGTACCAAAACCCCAGAAGACATCGAGCAAATAAATATAACAAACAATAGGGTAAAAATTACAAACTATTTCTATGTCTTTAACCTTTTTTATGTACGGAAATCACGTTTTCTTTCTCCCGTTCTCTACACGCACACACATAGACACGCACTCGCGCACACACACGGAGACGCGGACAGAAACTTGTCATCAGCGCTGCGGCTGCCCCGCGAATTTATCAATAAGAGTTTCGCAGCTGAAAAGCTACATGACATTTCTCAGTAGCGAGGTTCTTGAAGCAGTCCAACTTAAAGATTCGCTATTAGTAGACGCTGCTGCTGAATACTGCTGCGAGACGCACAGACGCAAGTATTCACACGCACTTAATCTCTCCCTCTCTCTTTCGCTCTCTCTCTCTAATAACTGCGTTAGCCTGCATATCAATGGCTCAAGCCTCTGTTTTTTAGCTCTAAAATGAAGTTTTGGAATTTGCCACGGAAGGTTTGGGATGAGGTGCGTAAAAAAATTGCTAGTTCAACACCCACGAGATTTCAAGACGGAAACATGTCAAATGCCTTGAACTCGTTCCGTGTAAACATAAAACGATGTCTGCATTTGTGATCAGAGAAATGGCAAACAACAAGTGCTACTCTACTGCCCAAAACTCGCGTTTGAATCATCAGTGGCAAATCCTTTAAAATTACAGTCTGTGAGTCAGAACAGCCGGCATTGTAGTCTACTCTTCCAGGGTCAGGAAACAGTCCTCCATAAAATGTGCTGCACACAAATGAATATTTGGGTTGAACTGTTCTGGAACAGTGTTGCAAATACAACTTAACCACTGATTTCTTGTCGTGTCCTCTTTTGGAAGACCAAACAAAGTAGTTTCACTTTCACAACGAAACACACGGCGGGCTAGAGTGAGCGGAGGCTGGTGGCTAGAGTGAGCGGTGGCGGGTGGGCTTGAGAACGGCGCGCCCGGCGGATTTGACGAAGGAGCATCCGGTGGGCTTTCGGCAACCACATGTGACGACCCCGGGCTGGACTCCGCATTGTCCACGGTGAAAGCCGATCTGGCAATCCACAGCGTGAAGTTGATGTATTCCCTCAGCGGTCAGCTCTAGGCATGACGAAGCGGATATCATCCTCTTTTGGAAGGCCAAACAAAGTAGTTTCGCTTTCACAACGAAACACACAGCGCCTTCACGACATGGTAGCAGCGGCAACAACAATACAGCGAGAATAAAAGTTACGCCTTCTTTTTTTGTGTGAACATTTGGGCGGCGTTATGCAAATCTTCCCACATCATGACATAGACATGTGGGGGCGTGTTAGAACGAGCCGTTTTAGGTAGGCGTGGTTGACTCTTAACTTTTATAAAAAATATCTCTTTGGATTTGAGACTTTAGTCTTTGCAACTTTACAGATCTTCATTATGCACCAAGAGCTTGTAACACTTCAAAGAGAAAGGAAAAATTGAAATCGCATCATATAACCCCTTTAATGCTGGGGCAGCGAAGAATGGAGGATGAGCTAAAGGAGGCTGGTACATAATTTATGATTTGACTGTGGTTGGGTCTAATTATTCATGACTCAGCATCGCTGATTACAGCGTAAAATTGGGCCATGCACACAACAAAGAATTATGCCCTGGTGAGCCCCTGTAGGTGCTTATTAGCACCACAAATCAATTAGCAAATTACAATAGCCTAATGCAGGGGTAGGCAAGTTCGGTCCTAGAGAGCCGCAGTCCTGAAGAATTCAGCTCCAACCTTAATCAAACACACCTGAACAAGCTAATCAATGTCTTCAGGATTACTAAGGCTATAGGCAGGTGAGTTTTGTTTTCAGGGTTGGAGCTGAACGCTGCAGGACTGCAGCTCTCTAGGACCGAACTTGCCTAGCTCTGGCCTAATGAAACACACTCCAGTTATCCCTGAAGAGAAATTGTTCATCTGTTTAATGCTTTAATAGATAAAACATCTTAAAATGGTGTAAAACACTAAAAAAAGTGCTTTTCAAACCTATTCACTGTTTAAAGCAATCTTTTCTTTCTTTTTCCCTCCAGGGATGTATCCCGTTGCAGGGTAGTCAAGTCAACGAGCTGACAGCCAATCCTGATGAACCTGGGCGGCATCTTTTTGAAATAGTTCCAGGTAGGAGATAATTAAATTTACCTTAATCTTCTTTGGTCTGATTTAATTATGCGTTTAATGGTTTGTGCCATCAGGGCATAATCTGTGCATGTTATATTTTATACTTACTTATACTCTTTGTCCAACTTGTCACTCAAGGAGGCATACAATGGCAAAGCAAGAAAACAAATAAGGCACTGTGTTTGCAGGCTCTGAGTGGGAACTTGCATATTGTTACAGACGAAATACAGCATCATTACCAGAGTTAATCAGGGCATTAGGTGTCCTCTTAGCAGGGCCGGATTTATGCATAGGCATTGTAGGCACGTGCCTATGCTTTCTCATCCAGGGGGGGTCCAAACTCAATGAAGAGATATATCTTATTTTTGTTATACTATGGGATATCTACAACAGTAAAAGTACCAAAACCCCAGAAGACATCGAGCAAATAAATATAACAAACAATAGGGTAAAAATTACAAACTATTTCTATGTCTTTAACCTTTTTTATGTACGGAAATCACGTTTTCTTTCTCCCGTTCTCTACACGCACACACATAGACACGCACTCGCGCACACACACGGAGACGCGGACAGAAACTTGTCATCAGCGCTGCGGCTGCCCCGCGAATTTATCAATAAGAGTTTCGCAGCTGAAAAGCTACATGACATTTCTCAGTAGCGAGGTTCTTGAAGCAGTCCAACTTAAAGATTCGCTATTAGTAGACGCTGCTGCTGAATACTGCTGCGAGACGCACAGACGCAAGTATTCACACGCACTTAATCTCTCCCTCTCTCTTTCGCTCTCTCTCTCTAATAACTGCGTTAGCCTGCATATCAATGGCTCAAGCCTCTGTTTTTTAGCTCTAAAATGAAGTTTTGGAATTTGCCACGGAAGGTTTGGGATGAGGTGCGTAAAAAAATTGCTAGTTCAACACCCACGAGATTTCAAGACGGAAACATGTCAAATGCCTTGAAACAAATCATCTGAACAATTGATGTGTGATTGTGACTCCAGGCCGTTTAAATTATTAGAGAAATAATGCACTCCCGAATTCTCAAACAAATTAAGAGCCTACATTTGATTTTTATTGACTGAACGCAAGCGCTTATTGCGATAGAAAACACTGTAACAGTTTCCACTGATTAAGAAATATTTTTGTTTGCTTGGGTGGTAATATTAGGCCTATTATATTAATAGGGAAGGGGGGTCCAAAAACTTGTTTTGCCTACGTCACGAAAAGAGGTAAATCCGGCCCTGCCTCTGAGGATACATGAAGGACATTTGTGAAGACTAAAATCCATTTGTGTGCAAAATGCTGACCACCTAAAACAGAAAATGCCTGAAAAATGTTTTGACACAAAAAAGGAAATAAATGATCAAATAAATAGTAAATATTTAAGACTATTTCTACAACATAAATGTATGACTTTGCAGCCTGAGTGCTGCTTTCATTAGGCAAAAGGGCAACGTACACAATATTCTGAATTTTCCATTCATTTGTCATTTCAACTTTTGACACAAGTTTTCTGTCACGCCCCTGGATTGGTTTTGCTGTGTTTTTCCTCCCCATGTGTTCTGTGTCCCCGTTAATTAGTCATTCCATGCACCTGTGTTCCCCTGATTGCCCTGTGTTTATTAGCCCCAGTCTGTGCTGTCTGTCTTTGTCGGAGATTGTATGTCTACCCCTGAGTCTCCTGTGTTCCTGTCTGCTCCATGTTACTCCTTGGATTAATGGATTAAAAGTACTGTTGTGTGTTTACGCCTTGTCTCCTCGTTCCTCGCCTTAGGGAAGTGTGACAGAATCTCAGACCAAAAACAGTTTATTGCATGTTTCCCATCCGTTTTGTTATCGTTTTTTCTCTCAGTGTTTTTGTTTCCATAGTGTTTCCCTTATGGATCCCCTCCTTCGCCCTGAATTCATCCTCCTCCTGATGGAGCAGGGGGAGAAATCACTCGAGGGTCATACCAGACTGTTTCTGGCCATGGCCCATCTAACCACCTACCCGGACGACGTGCTCTACTCGTTCTATGACGCCAGCCTCAACACCGCATGCAGAGCGCCGTCGTCCGAGGATGGCCCTCGAGCGGAATTCGCCGCCTTTATGGAGTGGACACTGGCAAGAAATGGATCGCCGTTCTCCGCCGGTTCCCAGGAGTATATCGCCAGTGCCACTCCCGACCCAGAGCCCAGCCCACCATCTCCCCGATGCGCGGAGCGCATGTCCGAGCTCACCGCTGACGGAGATATGGAGCCCACCGCAACCGACGAGCCATCGCCGCATGGAGCGACAGTGCTGAGAATCGCCGCAGAGCCAGAGCAGCTGATGACGTCAGTCAAGGTGTGTGAGCCGGCAACAACAAGGGTCATACCAGACTGTTTCTGGCCATGGCCCATCTAACCACCTACCCGGACGACGTGCTCTACTCGTTCTATGACGCCAGCCTCAACACCGCATGCAGAGCGCCGTCGTCCGAGGATGGCCCTCGAGCGGAATTCGCCGCCTTTATGGAGTGGACACTGGCAAGAAATGGATCGCCGTTCTCCGCCGGTTCCCAGGAGTATATCGCCAGTGCCACTCCCGACCCAGAGCCCAGCCCACCATCTCCCCGATGCGCGGAGCGCATGTCCGAGCTCACCGCTGACGGAGATATGGAGCCCACCGCAACCGACGAGCCATCGCCGCATGGAGCGACAGTGCTGAGAATCGCCGCAGAGCCAGAGCAGCTGATGACGTCAGTCAAGGTGTGTGAGCCGGCAACAACACCTGCCACGAGGGAGAAAGCCACGGACGGGGTGAGCGCAGAAAGCCAAGACGAAGAGGAGAGGGCTCCAGTCCCCGAGTCCAGTTCAGAGCACCCTCCAGTGCCTGCTCCTAGAAAGCGCCCTCCAGTGCCCGCTTCTAGAATTCACCCTCAAGTGTCCGCTCCTCCAGAGAGTAATCCCATTCCGGTAATCAGCCTAGAGGGGCCTCCTGATCCAAAGTTTAGCCCCGAATGCCCGGAGGCTCACGAATGCCCGCCCTCCCACCCTCTCCTGCCACCACCTCCGCTGTTGTCTGGCAGCCCCTCTGCTCGCCCTCAGCCCACCATCTATGCGGTGCAAGCTCTGCGGAACTGCCATCCTCCAGTGTCGCCATGGCTGGAGTTTCCCTTGACTCCGCCTCCAGCCTCTAAGCCAGTTTACTCTAAGCTCCCTCCTCTCCGCCGTGGCCTGGCAGTCCACTAGCTCCGCCAGGCTCTCTTGTCCCTCCGGCTCCGCCTTGGTCTGGGGTCGACCATCCTGCATCTCGGGACTCCACTTCTCTGGCTTCGCCTCGTCTCTCCGGCTCCATCAGGCTCCTTCATCCCTTCGGCTCAGCCTCAGTCCTCTGTCGCTCCGGCTCCACCCCGTCGCCCTGGCCCATCGGCTCTCCGTCTCCGCCACCGCCTCGGACTCCTCCACTACCTGCTCCGCCACCGTTGGTCGGCCCCCTGGAGTCGGCGGTCATTCCTCCTCCATGGCTCCTCCCTCCGTCGGCTCCACCGTGTGTCGGCATTATGGCTGTGGCCTAGGTCCTGCTGGGCTCCTCCTGCTCCAAGCCCCTCCTGTCTCCTCCCTGGCTCCTCCCTCCATCGTCTCACCCATGGACTCTGTCTGCCCGCTCCACCCTCCCTGGTGGAATTGTTACGGCACGGGGGGGAGTAATGTCACGCCCCTGGATTGGTTTTGCTGTGTTTTTCCTCCCCATGTGTTTTTTGTCCCCGTTAATTAGTCATTCCATACCCTGATTGCCCTGTGTTTATTAGCCCCAGTCTGTGCTGTCTGTCTTTGTCGGAGATTGTACGTCTGCCCCTGAGTCTCCTGTGTTCCTGTCTGCTCCATGTTACCCCTTGGATTAATGGATTAAAAGTACTGTTGTGAGTTTACACCTTGTCTCCTCGTTCCTCACCTTAGGGAAGTGTGACATTATCCTTGTAATGTATTAATACATTTTCTAGTAGATTAGAAAAAAATGAAAAAAATAATTTTTGGTAACACTATAATAAGGGTTCCATTTATTAACATTAGTTATCTACATTAAAAAATTAACAATAAACAAATGCATTCTTACTAACTAATGATAACAAAGAATAGTAAATACTGTAATGAACGTGTGACGAGAGGGGCGGGGCCGAGAGCCGTGGGAACGGAGCGAGGCCGGTGGAGCAATTGATAATGAGCGACACCTGCACCACTCACCGGGCTCGAGTCTCACGGAGGAGCTCCGGAAGGATACAAAGGAGGAGTGACGACAGGGAAAGACGAGAGAGGACCAGGCCTGGATTTTATTTTGTGTTTTGGTTTCGTTTGTGCGCGACAGTCGTCCGTGAGGGGCTGTCGCGCTATTTTGTGTTTATTTTATTATTAAAGTTTTATTTGAGTGTGGCCGGAGCCTGCTGCCATCCACCATGATGGGGAGGAGCAGGGAACGGGGGACTCCTGCCGGCTGCCCGAAAGCGGAGGAGCCGTCGCCGTCCACTGGGCGGCAGAGGAGTCGTGCCGTCCACTGAGGGCTACCCAGTGCTGCCGCTAGGCATCGCGGAAGAGCTTACCCAGCTGGTGGAGGGCCGAGCGGCAGTGTGTCTGGGAACCGGAACAAGAATTTTTTTTTTCCTCTCTCCCCTCTCTCGTCTCTGTCTCTCCTCATCCTTCCATCTCCTTTTCTCTCGCCTCGTCTGTCTGTCCTTACCCCCAGGTACGCCGCGGCCACCGTGATCGGCTGAGTAGAGCGCAGTCTCGGGAGTACCCCCCGGCCTGCGAGGGGCGATGGGGGTATGTGACGAGAGGGGCGGGGCCGAGAGCCGTGGGAATGGAGCGAGGCCGGTGGAGTAATTGATAATGAGTGACACCTGCACCACTCACTGGTCTCGAGTCTCACGGAGGAGCAAAGGAGGAGTGACGACAGGGAAAGACGAGAGAGGACCAGGCCTGG